ACTTCAAGGCACGAAGCATGCTTAATGATAAAGATGTTCCATAAAGGTCAATTCACCACCAATATATAGCAATTCTAAATTTATATACATGTTTAATAGATAGCTTCAACATGTATAAAACAAAAATCAAAAGCACTAAAATGAGAAATAAAGAAATTTGCAGTCACAGTGAAAGAGCTTAGTGAACTTCTTTCAATAACAGAATATACAGAAAACATTTTTGTAAGAATGTAGGCAACTTGAATAACAGCATTATTGACATAATTAAGTACTATATCCCCCAAATGCAAATATACTTACTTTTCAAATGTGCATGGAAAATTTATCAGAATTGATCATATGGTTTTGACAAATTTCAAAAAATTGACATCAAAATATGTTATCTGACCATGGCAGAATTAATGTAGAATGTAATAACAGGAAGATAACTGGAAAATCCACAAATTTCTGGAAATCATGTAATATACTTTGAAATGTCAAAAAACGGATTTTAATGAAATCTAAAAAACCCAAGTAACACAAATGAACAGCAAAACATGGGATGCAGGTAAAGGCGTACTTTGAGGGAGGTTTTTAGCCTTTAATGCATATATAGCAAAGAAGCAAGGTTGAAAACCTAAACATCTGTATGTCGGGCTGTCCGATGCTCCACCCAGGACTGAGGTGCTCGTCGCTTAGCTGGGTCCCTTTAGGGATTTATCCTCGGCTAACAAGTGCGCTTTGCCTGGTTGCATCCTCTTCTTCAGGACGGCTCCTATCCAATACCTAGTTGTGGAGGAATAAAGGCCTGGCTCCTTCTCTCCATTGTGCCTGCTGGATTTTAATTTCTAGAGATGACGGAGTAATGACATGGAAAGGACAAGGTAACTGAAGGGAAATTTTTATTATATTTCTGGAGGCGAAGGGGCATTGCTATGCCAGGAGGGCCACATGGGGAGCACCAGTGTGGGTCTGGAGGCAGAGGCAGGAGAGAGGGGGAACCCGGGGCCAGAGTCCTTATCAGGGTTTCTGTGGGAGATGCCAGGCGGGGTAGGGAAAACTTTAGGACAGCACTTAAGAAGTGGCTGGTTTGAATGATTCCAGGGGGCCATGAGACATAGCAGGGTTGTCCTCAGTTGTCCATACTGGCCCTGTGTGATTTGCGGTGGGGAACACTGGCTTGGTATGTGCGAGCTGGATAAGGAAGTGGTTTGGAGTCCCAGGGGAGTCCCAGGGGCGATGTGAACAAGTCTGGCTCTTTGCCCTGTAATTAATGGATGCCAAATAGACAAATAGAGAATCTAAGAAAACACAGAAAGCCACCTTGTCCCAGGTGTCATCCCAGCCCCAGTACTTGCCCTTTCGGGACTGGCTGAGGCCATTTTCAGGACTGCACTGCAGTTCAATGTCCCTCTCTGCTCAATCCTGCTTTCTCAGTCCCTCACAGGTACTGATTCTGTGGCCACTTCCTGACATTTCCTGTCTTGGAGTTTATTTGGAGGAGACCCATCCTACAAAAACATCCACCTAAATAAGTTAGAAAAAGGACAAAATAAAGCCCAAATAATATAAAAGGAAGGAAATAGTACAAGTAAAACTTACTAAGATAGAAAATAAATGTGCAACAGAATTAACGATGTCGTTTGTGATTTGAAGAGGTTGAGAAAATTGACAACCCTCTTGTGAGAGTGATTAAGAAACAGAAAAAAGCACAACTTGTTACTTTCAGGAATATCTAACAAATCCTATAAATAAGAAAAATATAATACAAGAACACTCTGAGTAATCAGCAGCAAATATGCCAGAGCATTCATATTTGTTAAGTTTGGGTAGTGGGGAATACAGGCAGTCATTATATTTGATTATGTATATGGATAGTCCAGAACTGTAAAAACATACACTTAAAAAAAAAACTTGGTTTGCTGGTATTTAATCCAGATTTTCTTCCACTATTGACAATACTGCTCATTTCCTTCTTTTTGCAATTATTGATGAAAAGAGCGGTCCTGTGGAGCTTCTACTATGTGCTGGCACTGCTGAAAGAACTTTCCACATTATTTCATTGAATCGTCATGACGGCCCAGTGAGATACAGTTATTCCCTCTGTAGATAACAGAGGGCTCAGCAGAGACTCCGAAATTAGCCAAGCAAAGTTACTGTCCATAGTCAGCATAGGAGCTGAGATTTGAACCCACAGTCATGTCTGAACCCCAAGTGTCTAGTGAGGAAGGTATATGCAGCTAAAAAAGGTCATCGTTCTCTGGGGATGAGGCCAAGGTGGTCCTTGTTTCACAGGTGATTGAGACCGTGGTTCTGAGGAGGGGGAGCTGAGCCCTAAAATCTGAGAGGAGCAGAAGATTCTGGTGCTTTATGTGTCTCCCAGGGGGAGAGACTGTGTGAGGGCTTCCATTTCTGTGGTTCGTATTAGTGTCCTGTGGCTGCGGTAACAAATTACCGCCAGCTGGTGATTTAAAACAACAGAAACTTATTCTCTCACAGCTATGAAGGCCAGAAGTCAGAAACTAGGGTAGGCATGGCTGCACTCCCTCGAAAGGCTCCTGGCAGAATCTGGCCCTTGCCTCTCTTCCAGCGTCTGGCGGCTGCGGGCAGTCCTTGGTGTCCCTGGGCTTGTGGGCACACTGTCCTAATCTTCGCCCCTGTCTTCACATTCCCTTCCTGTGTGTGTGTTCCATCTCTCTGCCTCACTCTTATTAAGGACACTTGTCATTGGATTTAGGGTCCACTCAGATAACCTAGTATGAGTGCCCAAATCCTTAATTTAATCACATCTTTATAAGTCTCAAAATTCTTAACTTAATCACATCTTTTGCTACATAAAATAATACTTACTCTTACCATATAAGGTAATATTCACATGTTCGGGGGATTAGGATGTGGACATTTTTTGTGGGAAGCCACCATTCAGCCCACTGAAGGGTTCATGGCCTGTTGGGTTGTAGCTGAGTCAAGCTTGATGTTGCTCAGCCAATCCGTGGAGTGGCAAAGAGGGGTGTAACACAGCTCAACGTCAGAAGAGAATTGGGGATGTAGAGCAGCTATAATGGCAAAGCACCATGCTTTGGAGTTGGGGGCTTTTGTAGACCATTAAAATACTTGATCTGTAGCACTCTGGTGAGCTGGTCAGATTCAAAAACTGTCTGGTATGTATCATTTTCCCTGAAAACAATACAGTTATTGCCAAATGATGGGCAGTTCAAATTTTCTAAATGGAATTACATGTAAGCACAGTGTAAAACCCTTTTGCTCTATTGATACAACGGACAGGAGCAGGTGGATTTTGAGTCAGACCTAAAATTGAATCCTGGATTTACTCCCTCTCCGTGGTGGGACCTCAGCCTCCTGGCCTCTCTCTTGGAGCTTGGTTTTCTCATCCGCACTCTGGCCATCAGGCTTGCAGGGCTATTGGGAGGCCTCCGGCCTAAGGGCTGGCCCACAGGAGGGGCCCACAAATACTTAGCTCTTCTGGCTTCTTAGGTACTCGTGGACCAGCCCAGAATGAGACCGTTCCGGTGCTCCAACGTGGGAGGAAGAGCCTGATGTTTTAACGACCGCAGTGTCCCTGCAGAGGGAAGACGTGTAGACTGAGCTCCGTAACCGGTTTCTTCTGACTGCAGGTAACGCACACCTTGCAGGCTCCTTCAAGCATCAAAGGGGATTTATGGAAATGATGTGGGTGGAGGTTCTCAGGCAGACAACAGGCAGGAAAGCACCTACTCTCAGAATAGGACCAGCAGGAGGAAAATTTATAGCCGTAGTTTTCCTAATCGTGGACTGAAATGTAGTATTTCCTTCACTTATGAATGTGGACAATAAACCAAGTCAGATTGGCAACACCTGCCAATTCATGGCTAACAGACATCAGGTATTTCACACCACATGGTTTTTACCCCTAAGTATTCACTAAGAAATTAGGGCCTTTCCCCCAGCTTCATTGAGACATAGCTGACATTCAACATTGTGTTAAGTTTACACACACTGTGTAAGGCTTAGGACACAATGACGTCACATACATATATATCATGAAATCATGGCCGCAAGGAGGTTAGATAACACCTTCATTGCCTCACATAGTTACCCCTTCTCCGGCGTGTGGTGAGAAGATTTAAGATCTGCTCTCTTAGCAACTTCCAGGTATAAATACAGTCTTACTAGGTACAGTCACCATGGTGTATGTTAGAGCCCCAGACATACTCATCTTAGAAATGGAATATTGTGCCCTTTGACCAACATCCCATCTTCCCCAATCTCCTGCCCTGGCAACCACCATTCTAGCTTGTTTCTATCAGTTTGGCTTTTCTAGATTCCACCTATTAGTGAGATCGCACAGTATTTGTCTTTATCTGACTTATCTCCCTTAGCATGGTGCTCTCAAGTTTCACCCGTTGTAGAAAACACAGGACTTTTTTTCATGGCTGAGAATATACCATTGTGTGTGTGTGCGTGTGTGTGTGTGTGTGTGTGTGTGTGTGTGTGTGGTGTCACACACATACTTTCTATATCTTGGCTATTGTAGATCATGCTGCAAAGAACATGGGGGTACTTTGTCATTTGAGATAGTGATGTCATTTCCTTTGGATATACATCCAGAAGTGGGGTTGCTGAGAAAGTACTGTCTTACCAGATTGGACACCAGATCATTTCATTTAATGTACTAATAAAGTAGCACATACATTACTCTTTTAAAAATGCATTTTTTAGTTTTGATAACAGTATTTTAATATAATTGCTTTCCTTGGTAATCCTCTTATTTTGTACATTGTAATTTTATTTTATCTTTTCTGAGACGACTCCCTAGGTTTCTCCTGGATGTTAAAGGCCCCAGGACACACCGAGAATTAAGGACCCTAGATCAGATGCCCCCAGGCTTCCCTGGGCAGGTCTGTCACACATTCTCTCTCTCTAGGTCTGGTGATTTTGCTTGTTGGTTTACATGATAAAAATAATTGAGGACCGTGCTGCACTTGTCTCCCCTGTAATGCCAACAACATCAGCCCTGGGAGATGGACCCTCTAGTCTTCATCCCCCACCTGGAGAAGAATGAAGGAGGCATGGAGTGCTCAAGAAAGCGGAACCGGCCCGGCGCCGCCCACCTGCAGCTGGTGCCCATCTGTCTCACTAAGGCGCCTAAAGCCAGTTAGAGCTGCTCGCCTCTGGGTCATTTGGGCTCCTCCCCTGGACTGATGACCAGACTGGTATCCCAGGGCCGAGATCCCACAGGCCTGAGTGAGCTTTACTGTGTGCCTGGCGTCGTGTTAGGTGCCGGGGACAGAGAGATGAACCAGCCCTGCGCCTGGCCGCAGCGAGCTCCGGACTAGGACACAGAAATAAACCTTCCTGACCCTGACTGGTGCGAAGCGGTGGGACAGCGCGCGGACCCGTGCCTGGGAGGCCTCCGCGCTCGTGCACGCGTTGTCCCTTCCGTCGGGCGCGGCCTGTCCCCGGCTGGGCTTCGCGGTGGACCCGGCACGCCCGCCGCCAGGGCCCCACCTGGCCTCTTCCCTCCGGCCGGGGTCGGGGCTCCCCCGGCAGCCCGCGCCCTCGCGCACCGCCCGGCGGCTGCAGCCCGGCTTTCCCCGCGGGCAGCGCCTCCCCCTCCGCGGATCTCTCACCCGGAGCGCAGGGTCTGCCCACGTTCCTCCGCCCAGAACCGGGCCTGACGTCCACCAGGCGCTCGGAGCGCCGCTGCCTGCGTCAAACGGCTCATTCGTCGGCCGGCGCTCTGGGGTCGGTTTCCGGCCTGTGCGCAGCCGCCAGGACCGCGCGGCCGGGGCAGCCGCCCCGCTCCGGGCCTGCGCGTCTCCCCAGCCCCGGCGGGGGGACTCGCGGGGTGCTCGCGCCCTAGAGGCAGCCCAGGGGCGGCCCCGCGCACGCGCCCTCTCGGCACGCGCCTCCCGGGCCCCGGCGGCCAGCCTCCCGGGCGCGCCTGCGGCGGCGGTGGGCAGGCCCGGACCCTGCCAGCGGCCCACCTGCCCCGCCCCGCCCAGGGCCTCCCTGCTTCCCGGGCGCGGGGAGGCCCGGCCTGTCCGCCCCCAGGAGCCTGGCGCGCCCAGGCGTGACGGGCCCCAAGGAAAGATGAGAGTAATCGGTAAGTGGCCCAGCTGCCTCACCGCTTGTTGGACGCATTTTGAGGTGGGCTCTCCCCGATTCTTCAGAGGGTCCCCAATGGGGCTGAGCCCGGGTACTCACAGTGGTGGCCCTCATTAACTCTGTGGACTTCCCTCCGTCCCTGTCGCACTGTGCGTCCCCTCACCAGCTTCCCCGCATCCCTCCCAATAAACCATCTACATCCAAATCCTACCTCTGGGTCAGCCTCCAGCGGAGCCCACACCAAGCCGCCCCCTCATCACACCCTCGTCCGGTATCTACTGAGGCTGAGCTGGGGGAAAGTGTGAGCTTCAGCAGGTGCACACAGGCCCCCTGCCCCCAGGCTGCCGTCTAACTGCCTTGGGGCCTCCCATCATGCACTGCACAGCAGGCTGCTGACACCTGTCCTCAGGTTTCCCTCTGGGGAGTCTAAGGGACCAGCAGCTCACCACCTTCTGCTCTTCCCAAACATGTCAGACGGACTCCTGCCACAGGGCCTCTGCACTGCCTGTTCCCTCTGCTTAGTACACCTTTCCCTCAACATACGTGGGATTCACCCCTGTTGTGGCTTTTGTCCCCCCAAAAGATATGTTCAATTCCTTACCCCCAGTGCCTGCAGATGTGGCCTTATTTGGAAATAGGGTCTTTGCAGATGTGATTACTTAAGTAAAGCCCAGCACACACTGGGTTAGAGTTGGCCCTAATGCAATGACTTGTGTCACTACACGAAGAGGAGGGACACAGAGTCACAGAGGAGGAGGACATGTGAAGAAGGAGACAGAGACTGGGGTGATGTGTCCACAAGCCAAGGAGCACCAGGGTTGCTGCAGCTGCCAGGAGCTGGAAAGGGGCCTGGAACAGATTCTCCCTTGGAGCCTCCGGAAAGAACCAGCCCTGCTAGTTAATGCCTTGAGTTTGGACTTCTAGCCTCCAGAATAGTGAGAAAATAAATACGTGCTGTTTTAAGCCACCAAGATTTGGTAATTTGTTATGGTAGTTACTGGAAACTTAAGCACCTCCTTCCCACCCATTACCTCAAGGAGGCCTATGCTGACCACCTATTCAATAACTGCAGGCTCCCCACACTTCTCAGAGCCTCCCAATCTCCCCGTGTACTGTAATTTCTCTCAGTTTCTGGAGCCAGGAAGGGCTCCATAATTGTGGGGCCCAGTACAAAATAAAAATATGGGGTCCCTTGTTCAAAATTATTCAGGGCTTCAAGGTGGAGACAGCAGATCATTAAAGCAAGCTGGGGGCCCTATGCACGTCTGCAGGCCGCACACCTGTGAGTCCACTTATTTCTGTGTACTGTCTGTCTAATTCCACTTGAACAGAAACTCCTCAAAGGCAGTGGCCTTCGTCTCATTCACTGACACACTCCAATCCTCAAAGAGCTGTTCCAGGCTAGCAGTAGACTCTCAGTAAAATTGCATTAATGAATGACTGAGAGGCAGCTAGTGAATGGCCACTGCCCCTATCCAAGGCTGGGGATTAGTGCCCAGCTCCACGTGCTCCAGGGCCCCAGGCCTTTCCTCTTCACCAGCACAGTGCAAAACCAACAGCTGCGCATGATGAATCCTGTGGCCCATTTGAAAAGTGTAGAGCCACTGAGCATCTCTGGCCTCAGTTTCCTCATCTGGACAATGGGATAATCATAATATCCACTTCTTGAGATTGTCTGGTAATTAAATGACATAACACATGACATCCTCAGAACAGTGCCTGGCACATCCCGGGCACTTGGGTGAGACAGGTAGCTTCTCCTATCCGTGTGTGCCCGTGCACGTGGGTGTCCCTGAGAGTAGAACCGGGTGGGGTAGGGGGATGGGCTGTGGCAGGGTGTGTAGGGAATCTGCCCTCAGTGTTTGGGGGTGGATGAAAGAGAAAAGGGAGGCTCAGGGTAACTCAAGGCAGGAAAATGCTGGCTGGCGCTCCCTCCCGGCGATCCCCCAGCCGTGAACTTGTAAGCAGCCTATTGGATGACAGCAAACAGGCCATGCCAGGCCTCCTGCCCTGCAGGCGTCTCTGTTACGACTTACAGGACGAGTTTTTGAAGACTAGCAAAGAACTGAATAATTGATTTTGAAATATGTGAATTCTGGAACATGAAACGGAACCCATTAAGCTTTTCATGTACCTTCCTCTCCTCCATGACAACACAGAGCTTATTTTAAACTCCAGAAATAACAGAAAGAAGCAGAGACCACCCCCTTACAATAACTCCCAGCAGTCGATGAAAAGAAAGCATATCAAATTCACTTTGGGACAGAAAAGGATTCTAAGACATGGATTTTCACAATGTCAAAATGGGGTTGGCCCATGGATTTTCACAAGGATTAGACCAGCCTGCCTTGCCTTACGATGAATGCAGATGGTCAAATTCAGTTCCCTGGAGTTGCTGAAATGCTCTTTGGTGTGTGGGGAGGTAGTTTTAGAGTGGTTGAACACAATGGAAAGTTCTTGAATGAAATTACTTGTTAGCAAAACATTATTTTTAAATTAATAGACTTCATTTCTTAGAGCCATTTAAGGTTTACAGAGTAATGGATTGGAGAGTACAGAGAGCTCCCACTTACCCCGCCACCCCAGCCCCTCGGTTTCCCGTCGGTGACATCTTACATGGAGGCGCTGTGTTTGTTACCCCAGATGAGGGTCAATCTTGTTTCATTAGTATTCCTTCAAGTTCATAGTTTACATTAGGGTTTATTGTTTGTGTTATGCACTCTATAGGTTTGACACGTGTATAGTCAGGTATCCTGCATTACAGTATCACACAGAATAGATTCACTACCCCAGATGTCCTCTGTGTTGTGATTATTCATCCTTCCACCCCCACCCCCCAAAAACCCAGCAACTGCAGAGCCTTGTACTGTCTCCATAGTTTTAAGTTTTGCCCTAAGTTGTTTACTGTGTCTTAAGATATAAGCCCATAATAGGATATGTGTAAGATAAATGAGGAAATCATTGTGCAATATTGTGTGTATTAATGGTGCAAATTTGTTTCTACTAAATGAATAGGAGGTCAAGAAATTCAGAGACCACTGCCCTAGAGACGAGCTGATAGCTAAGCAACTTTCAGTGAGGGTCTAGAGGCTTATACTCCAAAAGAAAACATGGATTTAAGAACCACAGTATTTCACAGTTGGGGGACTGCACATCTGAATCTGCCAAGTGCCATTCGCTTACCTCATTCCTCCGTGGGCGAGAAGGGGAGGTCTTTTTTTTACCTCCGGTTAGTGGTGATATATAAGTGACTTCGTTGGCCACCTTCCTCTCCCTTTTCTCCTTCTCTTGGGGAGCTGGGCTCAGTAACAGAAGTTTTCCTTCACTGAGCTCAACTTATCTTATGAATCTCCCCAGTTCTGTTGTTGGTGGTAATGTATCTTCACCAGTTCAAGGTAACTGTCACTTTTGGCTTAAAACAGGCTCTTTGGGGCCAGTACTCCATTAATTCTGGATTCTTACCTTTCTTTCAAATTCTTCTCCCATGTCCTGGGACTGATATAAATTCTAGAGCTTGGACTGCCGGCATAGTGCCCAGAATTGCATTGTCAATAGATTCTCCATGTCCAGATCGTACCTTGTGCTCGATAAATACTGTACAATCGACTAACTGCCTGTCTGTCTCGGCCCTGGGAGGTTAGACTCAGAAACTCACAAGCCGACCTGGTGTCTTCCTTCCCTCTGCTCTCCAGTCCTCTGCTCTGACTCCAGGGTTCCCCGTGTGAGACATGACCCTGTCACCCCCTAGCTGCTCAAGCCAGAACCCAGGAGTCATCCTTGAGGGTCAGCCTTCGGGGTCAGCCTTTGCATCCTGCCTTATCCTGGCTTTCAGTGTCTCCTTCTCATCCATGCAAAATCTGTAGGCTAGAAAATAAAGAATTCTCATTGGTAATCAGCTCACAGGATAGTAGAGGCAGTCATTGGTGCAGAATGACATTTTTGTAAATAGGTTTATGCAAACATTCATCTCTAGTGTAGATTTCCTTGTGGGAGGTTGGAGCTGCACGGGGGGCTCCTGCTTACGTCGGCCGTCCCTGCAGAAAGGCGTCGGGAATGGAAAGAGATGAGCCTTTGGGTGGCTGTTGGTTGATTGCAATTTTGTCCCAAGTTTAAGAAAGTCTCTACTTTCTTTGAAATGAGTTACATCTTGCAGGGCTCAAAGGAGGCCCTGCCCTCAACAAGTGGGTGCACACATTCTGCTGGGCTTCTCACGACTCTGCTGTTTGCAGCACCAGCACCATGTTCTCCCGCACACAGCTATCCTGGGCCCAGCACCATCAGCCATGGGTCTTTTCCTTTGTCTCCATTTCCCCTTCTCTGGGAGCTTTAAGGTGTGGAAAGGGTAAGGAATTTAAAGGATATAACTTGATCTGAAAAATTGATCTTGAGAATCTTTGCCAGTTTTAGGCCTTCCTGAATCTACTGGGAAGAACTCCCCGTGCACCTGAGGCATGGATGTTCTGAGCTTGCAAAAAACACCGGGCACAAGCAGGGAAGCAGAGGTGGCCGGCAGGTGGATGAGAGACATGCACGGCCGTCCAGCCCTGATGCTGTCATTCTCTGACTAATCAAACGACCCTCCCCTTGCTCAGTGACAGAGAGGTTGGTGCAGCTCCTCTGGTGGGAAGGACCCTCAGCAGAGGACTGGGAATGGTGGGGAAGTGAGGACTGAGCTGGGGGCAGCCAGACCTGGCTTTCAAAGTGACTCTCTTGCTGGAGTGCTGTGCCTTGCAGCTTCATGACATTTTAAAAGAAGATGTTTCATATTTTTATGGTAAGCTTTGGCCCAGAGTTATCATCTCTACCTTACCAATGTGGAAAATACAGATAAGGAAATGCCAAGATATTAAATGAGTGGTCCAAGATCTCAGAGCCGATGGAGTCAAGGCCGGGAGGAGCATCTGGGCCTCGTAAATGCTCCAGTTACGCAGGTGTTACCAACACTGGACCACAGCCTCTCCAGGGCCGCCTTCTACCCCTGGAGCAGCCCCTAAGGGTCTGTTTTCAGGACCCCAGCCTGATGGGCCATGGGACTCAGGAACGACTTTACAGCTCTCCAATTATGGCTCTCATTTTTACTGAGACCCCGAAAGATAAAGTGACCTCAAAATGTCATACATCTAGTTCATGGCAGACTGAACTCGGAGATTTGGGACACAGAACGTTTTGCTTTTCTGTAACAACCAGATGGAATAAACTCTGAGTTCTCCATAAACTTTATCTAAACACAAAAAAGGCAAAACAGAGGAAATTATTTGTCCCATCTGGAAGAAGCATGGCAACTAGGATTTCTGGGCCTCCGTCCATTTTTTATACAGGGATGATAGGGAAACAATATGATAAATTGTAGATATTATCAGTTTTTCATTTCAGTATCATGATTGACTTTTGCTGGAAGTTAATAGCTTGGCATTGCTAGGCTCACTCCCTAGAAGCTGTTTCATTTTTTCGTTTTTGACTAATCAATCAAAAAATGTTTTGAAAAGTTTGGAGTGTGGTCGGCCCCCAAGATAACTAAACTAGGCTGAAGATTAAAAATAATGTTCTTATTAAAATATCATTATGGACTCTGAGGGGCATATTAGCTTTTCCACGACCGATGGTGTGACCTTGGAGAAGTCACTCACTTCTAAGCCCCCTTTTCATTGTGAACAACCACCTCCCAAAATTAGCAGAGGATGTAATTAGGTGAGAAAATTTATATAAAGTGCACTTAGTAGGCCCACAGATGGTCTTGTCTGTGATTGCTTCAGGTCGCCAGAAGCCAGCCTGGGGTTCCCAGCCTCAGGAGATGGAGCAAAGCATCTTTGAGGGGTTTGTCTGAATTTATAAATATAAGGCAATGGACCCTCATTGCTCAGACAAGGGGGAGGAAGATACTACTTGGCTGACACAGCCGAGGGACTCAGATTCCCTGTGCCTGTTCTCTGAGATTCCAAAGAAAAAAATGCTGCCAGGAAAGATGTAGATCAT